GATCTGAAAACAATTGTTTACATCAATCCCCAGATATCAGATCTTTCTACGTCATACACATATTTAGCAAATGTTCCTCATTCTGAAACCAATGAATTGAAATATCTATGCAAAATTTTCTCACTAAGGTTAAAGGGACAAATAAAAACCCAATAAACTAAATATCACCAAAAAATAAGAAAAATATATGGGTCAATCAGAAGAAAGATAACTTCTAAAAACCAGCATAATTTCTTGGAAAAAGACTTTTTCTCCATCTTTGGAATATTCACATTCAGAACTTCCTAAGGAATTTTAAAATTTTTTAAAAGACTGTGATATGAATGATATTGTTATCTTTGGATACTGGTTTTTAGAGACTGCTTGTTGGAGCTCAAGAAAATATTCGATCCACTAGCTCAACAGTAATAATTAAACATAAACATGCTGCGAATTACATATTATTTTTGTTGTGTTTATTACCGGGACTTCTTTTTCCATCACTAACTTAGTATCATAGTGGTACTAATCCAAGAACTGTGATGCACTGAAATCACAAACATCTATTACTACTAATCAAGTCAGAAGATGTCACCTACATGTTCCTACTTTACTTTCTTTGTATTAACCAGACTGTATAGCTAAAAAAAGATGCAGAGTCCACTAAGGGATGCTATAAAGAACATCTTTTAAACTGAATTCTGACTCTTGTGAGCCTACATTAAACTACAGCTTTTTTTTTTTTTTTTTATCATTCTACAATAATTGTAGTCCAAGAAAGTTATCTAAGTCTCTAGCAAGACACTGTACGTTAGACTCTATCAGATTGCAGAGACAAACTGTTCACTCTGCCGTTTGCAAAATAGAGATAATACAAGTGAGAAAAGAATAAAATGACTCTGGCAAAACTGTTTGTTCCATTTTAGGCATAGAAAATTGAAGAGCACTTATTTTACTATAAACTTTTTTTTCTATACCATAAACTTCAACTCCTTTTTCTTTGATAATCCATTCTATTTTTTTCAAAGATCAGAAAATTTATTATCTCACCAAACCCCATGCTGAGCTTTCTTCTTATCCTTTCCTGATTGTTGGTATTGTTGCAACCTGTTCACAGTAAATACATCAGATTATCTTTCACAGTTTGCTCAAGCTCTTCCACCTCCAGAAAGCTGTCAAAGCACTATTTGAAACACACATATACAAGCAGAAAAAATACTATCTTGAGAGAAAGTTTTCATTCTTCATTTACACATGGACTTGATATTTCACTTCTTGCAAATATCAGGTGCATCTTATAAATCAGATCATTAAGATAGTTTCAAATAGATTAGTTTTTATGTCCAGGCAGTCTGTACTTCCCAAAAGATGAGCCAGGTTTGAAACACAGGTAGCAGCTGAAGAAGATTCTGTGTGTTAAAGCATAGGCAAAAAAATTCATCATATTTTTGCAAAAACTCAGGGGTCTTTTTTTCAGGTTAAAATGAGGATAAATTCATTAAATATGTTGACTCCAATTACAGGTAGCACAGCATATCTAGATAAACTGGAAAAGGGGAAAGGTGATGGCAGATTCCAAAGGACAGCATGAGAGAGTAAGTCACTAAGGGCAAAATTAGAGGGCTAAAAGGAGAAGAGAAATTTAAGACAAATAAATGAAAAATCTACATTTTTGTCATATATTGACCCAACTAATGTTTTCTTAATGCATGTTCTTCAGGACTGTATCAAATACTTCTTAGATGTGGATGAAAAAGGATTAGACTTCAGGTCTCTTTTTTTTTTTTTTCTCTAGTTCAGGACAGAAGATACAAACAGGAAGATGGCTAAATGAATTATGTCTGGGAAATCAGGTTTCACACTTCAGCTCTTAACACATGCTTCAGCTTTAGACTTAGAAGCTTTCCTGTTGTTTCTTGGTTTATGCTAATATTCTGTATTTCTAGTTCTAACAACTTTGCTTTAAAAAGAATCCTGATAATGCTTATTGAGTTCAGTTACTGTTGAGCAGGCCCTTAAGTTTTCATGGTTGTTTGTCTCAGTCCCATAAGGAATTGTATTCTCTTTGACAAAATTTCCCTGCAGTTCTGTTTATACCATTTCTGTCGCTAGCTGTGCATTACAGAAGAGTTGCTGGGTTTCACTGTAAAAACAACTGCATTTCAGTAGTTGATAAATTGATCCCTGTTCATACAATTTTGAAAGCACTTGGTTGGCATTTTATTAATAACTATTCTCAAATGTTTTGTTAGTAATTCCACATGTATAGAACACATAGAAACCATCATTTCACATTACCAGCGCACAGGAGTGGCACTTGGACAGTGGTGTATGCTGTATGTTTAACACTTCAATTGTTGTGTCTTCTATCTAATCAGCTAGATTTTAAGGGACTCACACACAGTTGCTACAAAGAGAGAGAGTTTTATCTTCCATCTGGCTTAGCCTCCTGGTACTTATCCTCTAGTTAGTTCTTGCTCTTTTTTTCTGTCTCTATCCCTTTGAAAGGTTTAGAGAAAACACTTCAAAGTGTTGTTTTTCAAAGATGTGGTACTTAAGATAAACTCCCCTCCAGTCTGACCCTCTCCTCATATTTCCCATCTTACAAAAATTCACATTCAGCTTTCTCTTCTCCAATTTGCTGCTGTTATATCCAGTGGCCAAGCCCTGTGCTCACTTTCCATATGCAATCAAAATATATTAAAAAAAAAAAAAAAAAAAGAAAAAAAGAAAAAAAGAAAAAAAGAAGAAAAGAAGAAAAGGATAGAATAATCTTTCTTTTAAGAACTTCTTTTCTATTAAACAGTTTCCCAGTAGTTTGATTTTACCAGCCTGACTGCTAATAAGCAGATTGAGCAAGATGATTCAACATTAAAAATGCACTGCTAGTGTACTCAATCCATATAATAATTGACAATTTTTTCAAAAGGCCCTTAAAATAGGTAAGTGTCTAATTCTAACTGAGTTTCAGAAGGAAATAAAGAGAAATATCAAGAAATATTCTGATTCTAGGAAATGTCACATATCTCTGTATTTATCCCTATTTGTCATCTGTCTGATCTGTAATTTTCTATTCTGTGCATGTGCAACACAGATTGTCTTGCCTTTTCCCTAGGTTAAAAGAGTTCTTTGTGATAAATATGTGAGGTGGTCCAGCTATAAAGTACACAGTAGTGTAAAAATAGAGCACTAATAGTCATGTAGTATACCTATGTCAAAGTATAATATACATTCTGGGAAGTCTCTTATCAAGTGCAAACTCCATCAATCCAGGTTAAGTGCCTTACAGTTCTACTTTCAACACTATTTTTGGAGTTCATGTCTTTGTTTTATTAAAAAAAAAAAAAAAAAAAAAAAAAGCAAAACACTAGCAACAGAAACAACCTACCACACAGTTACCAAGCATTCTGGCTAACAAATTATGCAATGACAAAAAAACTTTTCCTCACCCTTGGCCTTCATTTCCCCCTTGATTTCCTAACTAATACAAGTGCATTGCCACTTAGATGATACTGGATCCAGGATTTGTGTTAACCAAGGCAGATCACTGAGACTGATAAGCTATTCTGAAAAGTGTCTGATTAGGTATGTTAGCTTTTTTAATGACTTGGTGTTATGCAAAACAAATAGGCCATGTTGCCCCTAGCCTGCTTCTTAGAATGCACTTGAAATTGGCACTATGTCATCACTGCCACCTGCTCATTCACTGGCAGGACAGAGCAAGATGATGTGTTCTGGCAAACGGATGTCCAGCAGCTCAATTACTGATGCAGTAACGAAGACAAAAGGGAAGAAATACTTATAAGAGCATCTCAGAGGGAAGGTCTCCTGTGACTCCCAGCACTACCAGCTAGTTATTCCATCCCACATCCCCTCTCTACTCTGTCTATGGAGTCATGATACTCAGTACCTTTGTGTACTCTTTGGCTTGGCGTACTCTTACAGATGATATATTTGAAAACTTGGCTAGACTCAGAATGGTAGTGCTGGAAAGTGTTAATTTCAACTGCTCACTGGCTAACTTCCAGGTCACACTTCCAAAGACTGATATCTTGGCTTAGTAGTGGCATGGGACATTTAAAGAAAGATATGCAGCAATGACAGTAAAACCACTGCCATTTTAATAGAATTTACAGCCTAGTATCATTTATGTTGTGTACTCCCATATATACTTACTCATGCCAGAATATTTAAAAAGAGCAGAAGTAAACCTTATTATAGATACAAGATTCTAGGAAATAAATGTTGCCTTTTTAAATGTCATTCCTTCTGGGATTTGCTTTTCTTTAAGGAACCACAATATGATCTAAATAAATTGCTGCAATTATGGCTCTGATTCAGAAAAGCACTTCAGCACATATTTAACTTAAGCATGAACTTGGCATGCATACTGCTGAGAGCTGGCTTGTGATGATGTTGCTGTAACTGAAGATAGAAGCCCTACACCTTTTATTCAGTACACAGCAAAAGTAAAACTTTCAGACAATAGCTCAACAAAATAAGTCACCTTTTGGAAACTATATGCTCAGTAACATAAAATCTACTGTGCAACTGAGGTCACAACATTGTTTTCCTCAGCTTTTATTTGTCTCATCTCGAAATAACCCTGTTACATTGATGAGTACTAACTAGTTTTATGAAATCAACACTAGCTATTACAGGTGTCCTTGAAGGAAAAAAAAAAAATCCATTTATTTCATGAAATAAGGCGATTCAAATTTAAACCACCACCCTCGCCAAAGACTGAAAATACTTTTTTTAGGAGGAAATTGACCAAGATCAATATAATATGACAAGGGTAGGTAGTTGTGTGAAAGATTGAAATTTTAGTCATACATGAAATCTAAAACATTTAAATGTGTTCTCCAGATAAGAAACTAGCAAATAAATATTTATTTAAAGTCCAGCAGACCTATCAGTAGTTTTAGAAAATAATAAAAATCCCTACAACAACATTTCAAATTAGGACACTTTTAATATTTCTCACTTTTATTTTAAGGCATAGATATCAAGCTTCATCATTACCCACACTAGGCTACTGTTATATGAAAGGACTGATTGTCTTTGCCTTCTTCCAACTGCCAGTGTTCAGACCTGCAAGAAATGCTATACAGAAAAGGAACCAGAGAAGTCTCAAAGATTTTTCCCTCCTTCTACAAGAATTAAGTCATTTTTCCTTACACCAAAGAAGGTGAAAGAGTCAGTGAGTTCCCTAATTGAAGTGAAAATCATCTCAGTCTTGCTTCGCTTGTTTTTAGGAATCTTGAGGGAAGGAAGGATTTCTCTCTGCAGAATCAACAAAATAAACATCTGTAAATTCCTCTGCAGGTCTAACTGTTTTTCATGTACATTCTTCATGTTCTGTAAATTTGAATAGGCAGTAGTGAACAATGCAGTATTCCTTGGTGGGGCAGGACCCTGTGAAAAAATGCAAAATAAGAATGAAGTAGCAAGGAGACATGTGTGCTGGGTTTGTGTGTGTGGTGGGGGTTTTTGGTAGCAGGGGAGGGGGATACAGTGATGGCCCCTGTGAGAAGCTTCTTGAAGCTCCCCCCTGCTCCAAGTTTAACCCAACTCTGCACCAAGGTCAAGTGATGGTGGCTGCACCTCTGCAATAATGTATTTAAGACAGGACCTGAGAGGACAAGTTGGAGTTGTGAAGAGGAGTTGTAACATCTACATGAACACATCAGTGGAAGAATGGAGGAGGAAAGGTGGGGGGAAGTGTTCTGGAGCAGAGACCCTCCTGTATCCTGTGGTGAGATGGCAGGGCAGCCCCCCCCCGCCACCCATGGAGGCCTATGGTGGAGCAGATGCCGACGTGTGGTTTGTGGGGTTCCTGCACTGTCTCAGACCCTGTGGGAAGAAGCAGCCCCCGCTGTTGTAGTTCAACACTGGGAGGACTGCAGCATGCAGGGTTGTCCCACACTGGAGCATCTAGAGAAATGTTGCAGCCCGTGGGAGAGTGTCACATCAGAGAAATTTTGTGGAGGACTGTCTCCTGTGAGAGGAGGACCACACTGGAGCAAGGGCAAGAAGTTCCAGAAGCTCCCCCCACTGAAGATGGAAAAAGTGGCAGCACTGACTGCACCCCCCCATTCCCTGCCCCTGTGCCACTGGGGGAGGAGGTAAAGATATCGGGAGCAGAGATGAGCCCAGGAAGAAGGGAGAGGTGGGAAGAAGGTGTTCTCAAGATGTGGTGAAGCTTCTCACTGTCCTGCTCTGTCTGTTAAGTGTTGTTGTTAGTATCTGTATTAAACTTACGTCCCTTTTTTTCTTCCCCTAATGAGCCTATCTTTTGCCCATGACCGTAATGGGTGAGTCATCCCTCCCTGTCCTCATCTCAAACTTCTAGAATTTTGCTTGTTTTCTCATTCTCTGAGTTAGAATTTAAGGGGGGGAGTGAGCAGCTGTGTGGTGCTCAGTTGCCCTCTGAGCTCAAACCACAACAATGTGTAATATAGTAGAGACTTTGAAGGCATAGTAAATGTTCATAAAGGAAATAATGCAAAAAAATTTAGAGAAAAGTATCCAAAGTCTATGTGACTGTTTTAGCCTGAATCCCTTAAACGTCTTCTCAGTGATAGCTTTCTTCTTATTGCAGAACATTGTTTCCCCCACCTGCCTTTTAAACTTTTGGATTTTGACAGCACTATGAGGTAAAGGTCTTCTCTGACTCATTAACTCCCCACGTTCCACTCTCTGCTCTTATGTTTAAAGTTTAAGAATTAATGTGGCAGCAAAGTCCTAATAACGGCACAATGATTTATGGCCAGTGACTATTGAATAACTTCACATTTGAGTATGTATTGGGAATTTAGAGAATCCTTATAAATAATATTGAAAAACAGTTAGAGTCCATAAATAATAACCATAGAGGCCAAGAACATAAATGCCACGCAATGCCTTGTACATGAGGTTGTACAAGAAACAACATTCCTGAAGTAGCATTCTAGATCAGAGCCTGATTTCAGCTGCGATGATATAATCCTCTTTAATCCCATGACCTTTTTTAAACCACAATAAATTTCTAGGTTTTTTTGTGTGACACATAAATTGATGCAAATGACATGTGTGGTATTATATCACTTCCTGTTCCTGTGCCAAAAATAGAAATTGTTGTAACTAATGTACCATGAATACTGTAACTGCTTGCTGTAAAGGTCTAACTGGGCCTGTCATCTGTCACTTATTTACCCTTTTTATGAGACAATCAATGAAACTTGTCATGTTGTTCTTTTTTTATGGCTCATTGAGTTCTTATCAAATACTCAGTGAACTATTGATTAACGGACAAACTAGGGAGTATCAGCTTTTACTCACCTTGAAACACTATTTCTGTGAACAGTAAGACTTTAAAATATAACTTTGCAGAGGTTCAATTCTAGACTGTGAATCATACATGGAATTTCAGATGTTTCTCAGCATCATCAGTTATTCATCTCAGTGTTCTTGTCCATGAAATCTGCAATTAAAATCAAATGCTAAACAGAATTTTAGTCCTTTTATATGGTAACTCAGGATTTTTCATTCCACTTAGATCAGTGCAGAAATACAACTGGGATCCATCAAAGCATAAATTTTGTTTGGCTAAAAAGATTACATGTTGCCAATTAAGTGATAAAATGTGATTTTTTTTGCATCTGGTTGCAAATGAAATGAAGTTGCTTTGGTCTTCCCTGAGCCAAGTCAAACTGGAATTCTTATTCATAACCATAATTTTCTTTTACTACTTGTGCTTTTCTCCCCTCAACTCTTCCAGATCCCTGCAGTCTTCATTAACCTCCACATTTATGTTCCCAGCAAAGGTTGCAACATTGTCTTTGTGTGATTTCAATATTTTCACTCTAGCTGCTGATGAAAATAAATTCCAGCAGTTGTTAGACAGGTTATATATTTATATATGTGGAAATAGGAGAGGTTACTGTTCTTCCTAGAACTTATAAAAACCCCAGGCTTTAGTTTTTGTACTATTGCTTTTTCAGTGCACCATTTTTAACATCTCTTTTTGTTGGAATCAGTAGTTAAAAAGCCCACTTTGGTTCTGTATACATGTGCATATGATTGTACCTAAAAGCTCGTAAAATGACTCTTTACAGTTTTTTCATTTCCCCCCTTCCTCCCCCCCCCCCCTTCTGTATTGTGTGATGTCATAGGTTCAATCTGCCTAATTTTTTCTTCAATCCTTGTTTTCAAACATTTTTATGCAATTAGCCTGCTTCCTCATTCTTTTTTCAGTAAAGCTGCAGTATAGAGACACCTGCTGGGAAATGAATGAACAGAAACAAATGCAAACATCCATTATAATATTAATAATAAAAATAGTAATAATAACATTATTTTTTTTCAAAGTGGAAAGTATTGGCTAACCTTATTTTGATTTGGTATTTTTAATTTCTGCAGAAACCCTATTAACCTGATCCAGGAACATTCTACGCAAGGATGTTCAATTTGAACGTTCAGTCTGTCTGATTGGAACAGAATTTAACTTATCCATGGGATTTCACATCTTTCCATACAAATATTTTGCTCTTTCATTATCAATCAGAGAGAATCCTTGTGATTTGACCCAGGAATAATCAATGCTTTCTGCCATTTTCTGTGCATTTATTTTAGAAGTTTAATTATTTAGGAAAAGTAAGTGTTAGTTCTAATGGTTCTATCTAGAAGGAAAAAAAACCAAACCAAAACAAAACAAAACAAAAAAAAAGAGAATATGACAAAACTAAAGCTAAGAAACTTATTACTGAAAACCATACTGTGTCCAATATGTTCACACAAATGTATAGTTAAAGTTAATGCTTCATTTCAGTTTTATATTGAAACTTTCCTCTCACATTAGATTATCATCCACCTATTAGTCACATAATTCATTAAAATCTTCATTAGTCAGAAAAAACAGGGTAATATACTTGGGTAATAACTATTTTATTATTGTATAATAAATTTGTTTATAAAACATATTATATATTGAATATCTTATTTATTTAGGCATCTAATTATGAACAGTAGGGGTTTTGTTGACTACTCTTTTCTGTAGTTTCTGTCATAATTCACAAGAAAATAACTTCCTACTCTGATTCAGAAGTCTCCTGAGAATAATTGCTGTAGCACGTCTCCTGAGAATAAGCACTGTAGCACATGCTCCAAAACAGTTACAATGATAGCTCCATGTGCTTATGAGTTAATGCATTCCTAGAAAAAAAATCATTCTAGAAGTTAATATTTTATGAACAGTTTCCTAAAAATATAAATCTTATAAACAAGTTAATATAAAAAACTATTAAACATTTTTTTTTTTTTGGTAATTTTGCTACCAGTGGGAACAAATAAAATTTTCCAAATGATTGCACTCAAGAATAAATTCACAAAAGTACTTTTATGCTGCAACATTTTGTATTACAGCTCTTGGCTTGAGGCATCTTGCTACCGGTAGAAATGACAGCACTGAATTAAGCATTTTCTTAAGAATGACAGCTGAGGGAGATTTACCATTTACTTGAAGAAATTCAATCATGTTTCATCCTACCTCTTAGCTAAGAACTCTCATCCCCAGGCTGCAGAACAGTATGGTACACTGGTCTGATGCATCCTCTGCTTTCCAAGGAGCCTAAACTGCAAGAGCCTGCCATTAAAGGTTCAGTAATGAAGTTATTGTGGAAGGGGAAGCTCCACTTCAAACTCTTCTCCAGTTAGTGTGCTAGGTTTAGATATGTAGGAATCTATTACAATGTGTGGAGCAAATTCAACAGGAAAGGCTGTTTCGAAACTTGACAGAGCAACATATTTATTTATGGGCAATTTGGCCAGGTAAGAATATTAATAAAAAGAAATTTTAAAGTGTAAATAAACAAGTTCTCACCACAGCTACATGCAATATTGTTATTTTATATAAAGAACACAGTAATCAAGGTGAATAATTAGTTCTCTGATACTTAGGTTCTCAACAGAAACCCAGATCTGTACCTTCTGTTATGTATTAGCCATAAAGTTCCTGAAACTACTTCCCGAGTGTTTCACTATCAGTCACTTTAATGGAAGAGCTCAGGTATTTTGTAAACCATTTAATTATGTCCTTTGCCACTTCCTTCTCAACTTACAAATATACCTTATTATGCCCTGATTTTTTTGTTTCTTAATTTCTTCATTTTTTTCTATCAGTGGATCATCTGATTGCATTAATTTTTGATACTTAATAAACACTTATGGAAAGAGTGATATTGTTATCCCTCCAACAATCGCTGTTGTAAACTTGAGTCAGGACTAGAAAAAAGAAATAATTTCTTGCCCAACCCATTGCTTGTTGAAAAAAGAGTTCCTCCTGCAAAGTAAGATGCTGTATTGTTACCTTTGGAGGGTCATTTTCATCCAGTTATATTCAGTCTATATGTATCTATTATATGAGTTAGATGTTCTGTTCACTTATTTTTTATCTAAGCTTCTCACATTTGGTATACTTTATCAACTTTTTTTTTTTGGGGGGGGGGGAGAGGAATTGATTGTCTGCTATTTAATTCCTTTGAATGACACTCCAGTATTTTTCTAGGCTGTACCTCTTTGATATCAATCTACCTACTACCTATTCATGTATAATTTTTGTTCCAGGTTGCACTGACAGCTACAATGTTACATGTGTCTTAGTGACATGCTAAGTAGGAGTCTGAATTCAAAATATATTTTCTTGTCAACTTTACTTCAGTGTCCTGTTTAAATAGACTCCTCAGCCAATGACACTTTCTTGCATCAGTAATATAAGGTAGAAATTTAGATAGCAAAAACTTAAGAGCACCAAGCAACCTTCCTAAAAGCTTTGAATTTATGTTTTTTTCTAATGATCTGAAATTAGAAGATGAGAAACTTGTCTTCCCTGATATCTATTGTGTTCATTCTGAGAGAATACTCAGATTTTACGTAAATGTGGAAAAGACTTTATGTACACATATTTATACATGTATACATACACATATACGTATAAACATATATACATGCACATATATAAACTATTACTAGATAAGCTCTCATATAAAGTGCAATAACAAAGCTCCTTGAAAGGTCAATCTTTGAGATAATCTATTCTGTTATTTTAATTATTCATGTACACACTTCTATTTCAAGTTGTTTCTGCATGTTTCTCATGACCAGCAACTTCAGTATATAGCGTTCAAAAAGAATATCTTTTGCTATTAACATTCTTACAATAATAATTGGTTTTTGGGTAGTGTACAACAAGACTAATCTCAATTGTGGAGGGCTTATTAGCATAACTTTCTTCATTGAAGTTTCTTATTACTTCTTTTTTCAAAAGTATCTATTAATACATATTCACAGATCACTCATAAATTCAGTACTTTCTAATAATTCTCTGTAAAAGAAACCTCCATGTCTATCAGTGTCATGACTCCAGTAGTATAGATTGAAGAGTAAGTTCTAAAAGTAGGTAGATTTCTCTATCTTAAAAACTATAAAAAACAACTATATCTCATCCTAATACAAACTAGCAGTTTTAAGTTAACCAGCTGACTTTAGTCAGCAGTAATATCTGAGCACAACCGCATAGTTTACCACTGTCCCATTTAGTATATCAGACATAACTGGTCAACATATGACTTTGTGGCAGACTTTGACATAAATTTTAAAATGATGGAACATAAAGCAAAAGGCAATAACTGACCTTATAGTAGTTGATAATTGAGACACAACATATATTATTAACTTTTTAAAGCATAATTGATTAAGAAAAATAATGTTTACAACGTTTGGAGTCACATAAGTGACCAATGTAACCAACATCTTAGATTATCCACTGGAAGAATACAGTACAGAAGAATACAAGCTAGTTCATGTGTTATCTACTTTTTTAAAACAGCTGATGTGGTGAAACCTAAATATTTACATACATAATATCTATTTTTATTTATTAACGACAACTATGTAGTAGGACCTGCTGCAACTTGCTCCTTAAAAACCACATTGAATTCACCTTTTGTTTATGAGTGCAGGATACTTTTATTCTCTTCAGTCCCATATGCTTTTTCAGAAAGTCTGGATAGCTACCACTTAAGCATTAATATTATTGCTCAGCTCCTGTTCTCTCTTTTCTAACTGAGTAGAGGTCCTGTTGTTTTTGTTCTCCAATAAACTTTACTATATATGTAAAATGAAACATGAAAATAAGACAGTTCTGTGAAACTGGTTCTTGTGCTGGTGTGATTAAGGAGAACACAGAAAGCTTTATCTGAATGATAGTAGCTAACCTGTTGTTTTAAAAGTGATTTTAAATGTATCCTTACTTCTCTTAACTAACATGAAATTTAAGCTCCCTATTTAATGTTCTCTGACAGTATTTGGGAGTTCAGCTGATATTCAGCTTGCCACAATGGGGCTAGAGGCTAGGTAATAATGTCTTAGAGCTGAGGACAACAGTTAACACTTATACTAGTTCCAGTTCTAACAGAACTACTCATTTAGTTCCAGTACCACATTTCAAGTCTACCCTGAAGATTCTCACCTGAAATGAGTTTAATAATGATTCCAGGCACTCAAAAAGAATGGGACATTACTTATCCTGATTCAGCTTCACTGATGGTGGTTTTCATGAGTAACCTGAATAAATTAGTGGAATAGACCTTGGAGCAGGTGGTTATGTAACATGAATTATGACTCCGTATCAGTGTGGATATTTCTTAAGCCTGTGTTACTATGTTTCATACATTTTTCCTATATATGTATGAAATGTTCTATCAATTAGACTAATAATCTCCTTAATCAAATAGTTCCTGGACTGCCTTCATGTAATGACATTAGGTGAAGTTCATATCCTTCTTGATAGCAACATAGTGGAATTGTGTTCTCAAAAAGCAGTAGAGAACCAAAGTCCAGATAAGAGACCTAAGTCTATATAGCCATTTAAGACACAAAAAGCCCCTCTTCACTGAAATATATTCTTGATCTCAGTTGAGGTCAAAGTCTCTGTATTATTTGGAAATAGATTTTTTTGTCCACTACAAAATCAAGAAAGGAAAGTAATTTCCTGAGTGTAACCACATATTGGTTTATTATTATACCTCTTGAAGAAGTGGAAAAGTGTATTCGTCTGCAACATCACCTAGAGAGATTTGAAGTGTGTTCTTGTTTCACTAACACATTAAATAAACTCTGGTTTTAAACATAACGTTTAGTTGGTTTAGGATTAAAATACCTAATAGAGTTCACAAAATCTATGTGCCCTTTTAAGAAAAAAATATTTGACACACATTTTTCCATATTCACCACAGTTCTTATTGAATAATTCAAATGGTGTTTAGTACAACTAAATGCATCCTTACATAATATATATTTTTTTTCTTTTTACTAGAGTCTTTAAAATAACATAGTACAGATATGCTCGTGATTTACAAATGGAAGAAAGATCTGAGACCATTGGCAAGCCTCACATATTACCAGAAATTTTGTGCCAATGAACTAATTACTAAAGCGTAGCTTCAAGTACGAAGCTTGCAGGTTTTATGAACTATCCACAAAATTAAGTATGTTTTATTTGTATTAGAGCCCTGTAAGAATCCTTTCCATAGACTGGTGTGTGGGGGTGAATGTGTGCAGGTATCTGTACAAACACCAATCCAGTGATGATAGAAGTACAAAATGAGTGTTCCTGAGCTGTAAAAAGATCACAGAGTATAATATTCTCAACATTTTCAGGAGAATGATAGTAAAACTACATGTTTATTTTGATCCTGCAAACAACCATGTGCCATTTTAGTCAAGGTAATGTGGGTTTCCTAGCATGAGTAAAGTGACACATCTATATAAGTGTTTCTATGGCTTTATGCACATAACTGCAGAAGCTGAACCAATTTCATATCTGACTTTAGCTTACCTGTTTTATTTACCAGCAGAATGGATTCAATACTTACATAGTCATCTAAAATATAATAAAACCAGAATATCTGTTATTCCTATATCACTCGATTTCCATTTACAATGGCATTACTGATTGTGAATAATTCTTCCCTGAAAGTAAAAAGAATAAAGGCATTATATTTTCAGCACAAAAAAAAAAAAAAAAAAAAAAAAAAACAGCAGGAAATGAAGGACAGGAGAGATTAAATGAAGTAAACATTTTATCTTTTCAATTGTTGCAGCAAGTGATGCTGCACTGCAAAATTTTAACCATAACTTTACACCTGTCCTGATCATGGTGGTGGAGTAGACTAGCTTTACTGTATGTCTAAATATGTACACACAAATTTTCAATCTATTAGTTTAGAATAGTTTTCCAGGATCATGTCCCATTTTCCTCTGCAATGCTTTCTGCCCCTACTAAGTTTAGCAGCAGGAAACAAACTTACTGGCACAAACCAAGCTTGTTTCCTAAGTCTAACATATTGGAAAGTAACAACTTATGCTTTTGTGTTTGATCAGGATTAGGTTAATGTGTTGATTACAACACATTACCACATACACACATAACATATAAAAAAATATGTAAAAAAATGTAACGTAAATGTTTTGCACATATCTTGGATCTCTAGGAAAGAACTCCTCCTCAGAAGAAAAGAGGAACATTTTTCATTCTTATTAATAGTTCCTTGTTCTGTTTTAATATCGTAAATGGGAAATCCCAAGACTCAAAGTGGGATAGAAGATAGTGTTGTGATTCTGATCAGTTTTCTTACAAGATGATTGAAAGCTAAGGATTAATGTTGTGCTTGGGGTTTTGTTTTGCTTTTTATCTGATGGAAGAAAGTTTCAGTTCACAGAACCCCTGACCAGCAAAGTGCAGTTGAAGAAAAACACATGCTTTAAAAAGCAGAACTCAGCACTTTGCTCCTTTATGTTATTTTCTTTTAACTAGAGCTATTATCCAGACCAATCTTCAATGATTGCTTTTAAGCATATAAGCAGACATATTATATACTCTTTTAAAACATTTATTAATATATATTGGCCTATATATTTTGTAGTTGAGTTGATAAGAGTATGCACTATAGCTCAGTAAGGACTTATGAAACAGATATTCATTCTGACATGAGTGGCAGTCATCAGATTCGGGATGTCTTACTGAAATGTACCCCTCTGCACTTTCCATTTCATGGGGAAAAATCCAATCAAATAAATTCAAGTCTAATTTTTTGATACATTTCACAGAATCAGGTAAGAGGGGACTGGGAGAGATCTTGAGAAATTTCCAGGTACAATTAATGTTATTTTCTATTAAAGCAAAACTATTGGACACATCTGAAATGAAATATTTAAATGTTTCAAAATAAAAATTGATCTAGAAATCAGCTGTAGAAGAAATACCTTTTTCTGACAGGCTTTATTAAACAAGTTTGCCTCTACCAACACAAGCTATGCTTACATTTCAATTCCAGTTGGGACTGTAGGACATGTTGACATACTTAGTTAACAATCCTAGCTCAGATAATGATATCCCTCACTGCAGATTTACTTAGATGGATATTCAAATCCTGTTTACAAGTAGAATATCTGTCCTATAACCACATCTACTTATTTCAGACTAGACAGAGCTTCAAGTCAAGTAATATATGTGTGTGTCTGGGTTTTTCCTAGAAGTTATATAGATACATAATTATCAAGTATGCATTAATTTATAAAATATATGGCAAAATATAGCCATATTTATTATATTGGTATAAAATATGTATTAATAGCTGTTAAGTTTCTGTGTTAAGACTATGCGCAATTAAAACAATAGCTACATGCTCTCAAAGTAAATATCTATCACGTTATAGAACAGATATTTTACCACCCTCACACTAGTTACACCACACTAGATCTGGCTCCCTTCATTAGATAAATACTTTTTATCATTATTTGAACATCTTAATTCTACACACACTAGACTCTTTGAGGCTTCTACACATCTGCATAAGGAAATATGTTTAAGATAGTCATGGACTGATGTTTTTAAGTAGCATTTGTTGTATCTAACTTGACTTGTGACAGACAAGTATAATAGCAATGGATTTTGGCATAGCTTTTATTGCAGAGATTTGTTAACAAACACCATAATGGTGCAAGGGGCATCATTTTCTGTCTATCTGCAGCTATGCCATTCCTAATGCCATTCCTGTACCATTAGTAATGACATTCTTTACACAAAACAAAATTGCACATAGTTGAATCACAGAAAAAGGATTGATATGACATTTACATCTTCTAGTTAACCAGCAAGACCTTTAGCTTTGCAAGATAAACATAAGCAGGCAGTTGAAAACACCAGTAGTACACAGGATGGAAGACATGAATTTATGGACAACGATACAGCCAACTTTCTGAGTAGACTACTTGAATTCAAAGGCATAAAAACTCAAAGTAGTTTTAGAAGCATGAACCTTCAAAGTACCTGACCTGCAGTACATAACAGTTGGCTGCAGAGATATAGAACTGACATTCTTTAGTGATTTCCTCTCCCATCAGCACTTCCCAGTCAGTCTAAGAGATTTACCTAGAGGCGCTCAAAGTGAGGTACAATGCAGAGGTATTCAAGTTAGCATTCAATGCTAAATTAGCTACCAGATAAAGGATAGTCTTATTATCAGACTCCTTTATCTTGTGCCAGTGCTTCCCAACAGAACAAATTAATTCCTCTGGGGTACATGGCTAACATACCTTTACTGGTTTAGTACCTGAAATAGCTCAATTGGGGTCAGTTAGCTCTATGCAACTCTTCATTGTACTACATTAGAATATACTGTGACTAAAATAGCAATAACTGAAAAAACTGCCAGGATTAGACCTTGTAGAGGAAAATGTAAGAATAACAAAATGTTCTATCTATAGTGAGGCTGTGATTAATTTGGACAGTACTTCAGAATTTAAGATTGTTGGAAGTAGATGGAAAAATCTACAGAAATTGTACCAGAATTGTGTCCTCCTTTTGGGTAAAACCACATTCTTTTCAACGCTTTTGATCTACTTTAGCAGTGATTCTAACACTTCAAGATGCCACAATGCAAGTTAGCCATAGTGAAAGAAATCTAATGAAAAAGAAGACCAGTTTTAAAAAATATGTCTACAGGGAGTGCTGTCAGGTAGTCTCTGAGGCCCTGCTCTTTATAATACTTCTACTGAGTTGATTGTATTAGGAATTTCACAGTCAATTACAGAAGTCCATCAGTGATAGGACACTTTTGACTCCAGAAAGAATATAAATGTTTGAAGAAATCACGTTCTGTAAGAACTGTTCAATCAGTGATTCATGTTTTCTGATCCAAATATGCCCTTACTTTTGCAGATTTAATTTTGTCATAGCTTGAAAAGTAATTTATGCTGTTTGTCTTAATTCCTTGCAGTGAGGAAATTCAGGAGAGTTGGAACACTTTTCTTTGGTTCTATTACTGAACAGAAGACTGTGGGAATAAGTATGTGCACAAAATCATCCTACAAGCTCTGTATTATGGGTATAGCTTATAATGACAGATGAGATACACAAAAACTAAGATTTTTGATGTAAATAGAACTGGGATGAATTATGTAACAAATTCTTACTAGATTGAATTCTACGGCAATGTAGTCTTCATATTTGTACATCTTTTTTTTTTTTTTTTTTTTGTAATGATGAGCAATTTATGGTGGAAACCAAGGCAAAGAAAATATGTGGGCTGGATATTTAATCACTGTGATTCTAGAAAGAAATAAAAACATAGTGATTTATAATACTGACCAAAATAATGTCAAGGATTAGAGCAGACTGAATAATATGAAAAAATCTAGCCCTCAGAATAAATACCCAAACTCTCAAATGCTTCATTTCTGAAGAACTTATTTTAAAGATGTAGCTAACAGTATTTAGTTAACAGGTTTCAATCATCTTTTACAGCTGTTTGTACATCATACAAAATGAAACAATTCTTCCACTCTGCATTTGATTAGTCTGTTTAGGCATTCTTAATATAATATTAGAAAATACGTTGGAAGAAGACTGTTCTTCTATGTTCTTCTAAGGAGCTTGTCTGTGGCCAAAGGCCAAAGGCTATTTGTGTGGACAAGAATTAAGGACAGCTATGTCAGAGTATGACGTCTCTGATGCAGACAATTTTTTTCTAACTGACAGGTTACGGTCCAGTGACAGTGTTCTACATATAATTTCTACCCTATTTACATGTATCCTGTTTGACCTCAATTCATCAGGAACGGTAAGATGCATTTAATCTATTTTTTACTGTCTTCAAGTAGTTGGTAGCAACAATGATAAACAAGTGATTCCAAGGTAGTTTCATATAAAAAATATTTAGTCTCAGTTCATTAATTAAGGTGCCTCTGTGGTCCATGAAGAGGTGAGCACTTCCAGAGGGCAATTCCTGCCATCCTAAAATATGTGTCAAATTTGCTGAGCTGAATTATATTTTGGAACTTCTTATTTTTTTCCTTTGGCTTAAGAAATGCTCATATGACTAGCTTAGAATGCATGTCTAATTTATAAAATGGCTAAAGACAAATGAGATAAATCACATTTTCAATTAATTTTTCTGTATATAGACCCTTCTGTAAAAAAGGAATATGAGCTTTAGAGATGTAAGAAGAGGAGCTTGGGTCTGAGTAGGTATTACTGCCTAAGGCAGATAGAAATCTAAATATAACATTTAACACATACTGTCCTAAGCCTACTCAGAACTGATAGAAAGTACTGTAATACAAGTAATAGTATCAACTCTTAGTCTTTAAAAAGAAAACACATTACAACTATTTAAATCTATCTCTACACTTAATGGAGAATAACACTATTTAGATGAGATTTCTTTAGCAAATATTTAGGTACTAGAGACTGATTTGGGATACAGGCAGTTTAAAATCTGACATCATTCAGGAACACCAATTTGCCAAGAATACAGCTGAAGGTTTGTTGGGGAAAGTACTCAGCCAATTCAAATGAGAGTTTCAAGACATGAGAGATGATTAGAGCTCTAATTAAAGGGGTAGCCAAGTTCTAGAGTTTGAACTGAAGTAGAAAAAGCAGTAGG